CGCTCTTGCACCCGCCAGCGTCCTTGCCTGCGTGCCCCGCTGTCATTTGCACGCGCGCTGCTGTTCCTTTATGCCTTTGCACGCGTGTCAGCGTTGGTGCGTGCGTTCGCGGCTGTGGCCGGGTCTGGGCGTGTGTTTGCGCGTGTTTCAGAGCACATGCATGCATTGCCGTGCTCGTCAGTGCCTGCACGTGTGCACACCCATGTTTCAGTGTCCCTGCACGCACGTTGGTGTCTGTGCACGTGCTCGCACACACGTCAGCATGCGTGCCTGCATTTGCGCCCGGGGGGAGGTCAGCACGTGGATCGGTGCCTTTGCATGGACGTGCACACGTGTCAGCATCCGTGCGTGTTTGCACACATGCTCGTGCAAGCAGGCGCTTCGGTGCCGGTGCGCTCACGTATTGGCCTGGGGAGCGGCGGTTGCACACGAGCGTGCCCGGCTGGCTTTGCGTGTCCCATTGCACGTGTGCGCTCGTGGCTCTGTGTGCGTGCCCCCTCCTCGTTGCACGTGCACGTCCACATCCGCGCCGGCGGACCCCGGTGCATATACGTGTTCGTGGCTGTGCTCACACGTGCTGCTGCACACGTGTGTTCACGTAGCCCACTGCACGTGCATCCCATTGCACACACGTGTCCATGCCTGTGCTCACATACCCCATTGCATGTTACAGCTGCTCATTAGAGGGTAATGACCCTAAGCTCTAATTAGTGTTTCATCGAGGCCATGAGTTAATCATCACCAGCTGGCAGGGGCGGGCGGTCCCGGCCCCTCGCTGGGGTACAAGGTCCTTTCCTTCTTTGTGTCACGGCTGCAGGGATCACAGAATCACAGAATCGTTGAGATTGGAAGGGACCTCTGGAGATCATCTAGTCCAACCCCCCTGCTCAGGCAGGGGCCTCTACAGCATATTGCCCGGGATCACATCCAGACGGGTTTTGAATATCTCCAGCGAAGGAGACTCCACCACCTCTCTGCGCAACCTGTTCCAGGGCTCTGTCACCCTCACAGGGAAGAAGTTTTTTTCTCAGGTTTAGGTGGAACTTCCTGTGTTTCAGTTTCTGCCCGTTGCCTCTTGTCCTGTTGCTGGGC